TAATTTTTTTAAAATTAAACCTTTTTTTCACCTATTAATTTGTTATTTTTGACAAGAAGCTGACGAGAAACTCAAAAATTTCCTGACTGCAGGAGCTCTGAAACTCTTAAAGTATGGAACAGTTGGCCTCAAGCAAAAGGGTGGGCAACCATTTCTCTGGGATTCTAGGCCTGGGCTGGGTATTGGTCCAAGGTTCCTTCTAATATTATGATTCTAGACCTAATCTATGTTTTATACATCTCCTAATATACAACTTTTTACAAGTACTTTTTGTTTTTGTGTATGTGTGTGTATGTGTGTTGTTGTTGTTGTTTCAACATTAAAATTCAGTGATGTGTAAAATGAAATACATTTTAGTTTGCAAAGCTGTGAATTATAATGGTTTGTAGTAAAGCATAAACCTTATTCCTAGCCATATGGTTGTTCCTTATAACTAAGTGTGAAGCTACACCTTCTAAATATCCTACACACAAGAAATATTTTTTTTTAAAAAAAAAACCTACATTGCTAAGATATTCTGTATTTCTACTCTGAAGGAGTGAAAATCTTCTCAACATTCCCTCATACCTTCAGGTTGCTGATCCAAAAAGTATCCAAATAGGGTTGATGAAGACACAAACTTTCATTACCTGTACATCTGTTTTTCCATCTTTAATTGCCATAGGAGTGAATTTGGGGAAGGATGATTGTAAAGATTAAGGAGGAGATAATTTCTCTTCTTCTCAGCTATTGCCCCTTTTAAGTGGTCTATTGGCTCTGGAATTTGACTCCAGAAGAATCTTCCATTGATTCCAATGAGGTACTTAAAAAAAAAATTCTGCTTAATGAAGTTAGCTGAGGATCGAGGGACATGAACCATAACCTCTAAGTTCCTGACCTGCCCCACTTTGTCAGTTAATACCACCAACAGAATATTTGAAAAAATATTGTTTTGTCAAAAGCCATTTATTCATTCTGCACAACGAGGCACATGTAAGAAGAATACATCAAAATCCTTGAAAAAAATCCCATGATAGATGCTGCTTTTGAATTTCCTTCAAGTAGCTTTTAGCCTGATAATCAGAAGAGAATCATTCTCAAGGCTTTGTTCCAGATGTAACAAATGTACACAATTTTATTGCTAAAGGAAAGGCTGAATATGAAGACATCTGTTTAGACAAGTCCTCCTTGGATGCTTTGCTATGCAATAAATGTTTAATATTCAAGGGAAGAACTCCTGTTAAAAGTTGTAACCTGAAGTGCTTGAAGAGGGAGATATAACGCCAGTGAGCTTCCAAACATAATTCAGGATCCTGATTGTCATTTATAGATCCCTTCATGGGACAGGGCAAAATCTGGTTATTTGTGGGAATACCTGTTTCTAATTATGTCTGCCTGCCTGATTAGATTTGACATGGTTGACATGAGGAAGACTCATATTAAACATCAATTCCTTCATCTAGCAATTCTCTGTAGATTGTCAAGTGTCTATGTTCAAAATGTTTTGCATTGTTTTACAAGCCAAGCTTTAAATTTACTGTCATTTTATTCATTATATTTCAATATATTTTCTTCAATGTACATTTTGAGATATGCTCAACCTAGGAGCGTATATAAAATGTGTTGAATGTATTCATATTGTTGAATGGTTCAGAATGTAGCAGCCAAATAGTATGCAGCCAAAAATATGAATTCAATTCCAAATTGGGGATCAAAGTAATATCACTATAAGCAATAGTACAAATATTGTATAGAGTAGTTTTGGGGATTCCTAGGATAATGTGGGATGACAACTATCCATAATATTTATATCATAATTTGATAAATGAAACTGTGTGTACTGTCTGGTAACACACATTTTTTACATCTGCAAGTAAAGCTCTTGCAATTTTTATGAATTCATAAAAATGCAATGCTGTTATAATAGATTCATGGTAATTATTCAGTTGTACTCTTGATAATACCAAACACAAAAGATATGATTTAATTAATATCAATATCTGCATGCCTATAAAAACACAATTAAATTTAGAAATGGATCTCTTCCATACTGTTAAAGAACTCACAATTATTTTGTGATAAAAAGGATTAGGCTTCCCAGGCATAAATCTAGAAGGATTTGGGTTCATTTTGTTTAAAGGGTTTATTCTAATTCTACCTTGAAATTATTTATCCTCAGAATTTACCCATTTAGAAAAAGCAACTTAATCTTTATTTTAGTTGAAACAAAACAAAACCTTCTACTTTCAGAAGTATTATGTTTAAAAATTAACATATCAATTCTATTATATTAGGTTTAACGTACAATTTGTTCATCTGTTTGGAAGGAAACTATATTGAGTTCAGCAAAGCATATTCCTTAGTAAGTGGGTTTTGGATTGCAACTTTAAGCTTTCATTGAAGGAGAATAAGTATTTCTGGAGAGGCAAAATGCAGATTCAAATTTGGAAACTTAACACGCTTTGTTTCCAAAATTTGCCTCATTGGAGGCATTCCATACTGAAACGATTTCCTGATTTGTGGTATCATACTGCCTCATCTTAAGTGCTATGATCCTTAACTGCACAGAATGAATCTTTGGATATTATGACATTCATCATTTACAGGACCTTGTATTCTTATATATAATACAAGGTATCATAAATTCCCTTAGTTTAATACTCTTCCACTGAAAAAGAATCACTGGAAGGGAAGGTGGAGACTAAATGGATTTCAATCATCAACATGATAATGGGCAATAATGCCTGTCCTCCTATAGGAAGATGGGATAAGTTACAGACTTGCATCATACACAAAACTAAGCCATGGCTTATTCAACTATTGTTTGTTAATTAAAGTATGATTGATTGGATTGGGACCACCTGCTAAGCCAAAATTAAATGACATTGTGATTTAGTGCAATTTGTGAAAGTCTTGGTGCTATCTGAGCTTGGTTGTTTGCTTGCAGGCATTTCATTACACATCATCATGGCTAGTATGAGGTTTTCCCTGCCAGTGTTAGTGAGAATGTGATTATGTCCTTGGTAGTATCCTTGATTAGGATATTGTTTTCTGCTTGTTTGTCTGATGTCAATCCCTGCTTATCTGGTTGTTGGTTATTGGAGAGGATCTGTTCTGGTCTTTTTATTTCTTTAGCTTTTTTATTGTCTTTTTTGAATGGCATGCAAATGTGGTTTATCTCTATGTCCATTTACAGTATATCTAATTTGTCTGAATGCCAAGCTTCCAAAAATACCCCAGTTTTGTTGAAGTTGGCTTGGTGTAAGATACTAACAGTTTCCCAGTTGAAACTGTTAAGTGATTTAGTCTGTCCATGCATTGTGACATTAAGATGTTTTCCAACTGGTGTTCATGGAGGCAGTTTGTTAATCTTCTGCTTGTCTGTCCCACATAGTGACTGTTACAGTCCTTCAACTGTACGTTGCTGCAATTTGTCAGTGCAGCCATGGTTTTAGTTCTGCAACAATATTGCAAAATGTCATGATCTGCTGTATACAAAGCAGCAGTTGAAAAAACCTCTGTCAAACCAGACATGGGGCATTGGGTTTCTATGTACATGTAGTACAATGATCTTAAACCCTCTTCTCCTAAATACACATGAGGCCTTTAGGTATATAAATGATGCTTTCATTATAGCTGGTTTTATGTTTCAGTAATTAAGCAATACTTGCATGCTTATTTCCAAAATCTAGAAAAACTTTCAAACTGTTTCAATCCTTGAGTCAACAGTGGTACAAAAAATGCTTTGTCGCTGCTTATCAAACAAAAATTCATAATCCCCCTATAGTCTCCCCTTAGTAAAATAGTATTTTATTTAAAAAATCAGTTTATATTTGATTGGAAGCCACCCAGAATTGGTTATAAGATAGGCAGCTATACAGTATAAATGTGTTTAAATAAATATTAAATGAAAGTTTTCCCATAATAGACTAAACTATAGCCTATGAAAACCACAACAGATGGATCCATAAATGTCATAAATCAAAACAAAACAAAACATCTAATAGCTTCATCAAATGAATAAACACCACAAAGTAGTTCATTCCAACATGTTCTGCCTAGAATTGTCTTGAGAGTCCCAAGTAGAAATAATTTCCCCAGAGATCCTTTTACCCAAACATACTGAAACCTGGGTATCTTCTCACCAGTATAATGTACACTTCAATTTTACTAGAAATATAACACTGAAAATATATATCCTCTGCATTATAGTTTTACTGTGAGTGGGCCGAAAACACTAGCGAATTAGTCACTGAAGAAAATATTTGTATAAGTTACAACAATTTAAAAAATGCTCCCCACAACCCCCAGCCCAGTCCAAATTAAACATGCTCCAGTAGCTACAGTATCAGTTTGAGAAGAAACATGGAAAAGGAATGGAAAGGAACAGGACAAGTGTTATGGTTCCGGCTAGTGAAACACTTCAAAGAACTTCCAGGCATTGATTTTCCTAAAAGTAATTTATTGTTACAAAATGTCGGCACAGGCACGAGTTGATGCTAAGGTCTAAAATTCTCTTCCTCTGAGCAATTAATTTACCAGCATGTTCCCTCCCTAAATTTGCTGTCATATATCATGTTCTCCTATCAGGTGGAAGGGCAGAGGTTCTCTTCCGGTTTCTTCCCGCCCGCAGTCCTATCTTTCTCCTCCCCACCACCATCAACTGAATTAACTCTAAAAATACCATACAGTTCTGCATATTTTGTCAAAGCAAGAATATACAGTATTTGCAGCATTGACAACAAGTTGGTAACCATTTGATAACCTGAATTTTGCTGCTGTCCAAATTGTTATTTAAATAGCAGTCCATAAATTAACATTATACAGTACTTTCTAATGTTAAATTGCTGGAAAGTTTAAGGCATGTGTAAAAGTTTTTTTTTAAAAAAAGTCTCAGGTCTACTTTTAAATTAGGAGTGATATAGTCAAGATTTCCATCGTTGGATCATAAGGAACACTTTATTCACCCCAGTCCATCACCCCGCTCCCACTGTTATGAAGAGCCATTAATATTACCATACCTTACTAAGTTGTTAGCACTATCTGGATCTTGTGCTGTTACTGTGCCCACAGTTGTTCCAATTTTTGCATTTTCATAAACCTCCATGACATAAGATGGAAGAGTGAACAATGGTGCCTCATCCACATCTCCAATAACGATCTTCAACATAGTCACATCTTTAAAGGGTCCTAAATGTGAGAAGCGGAAATCGAGGTGGGTATTTGCTCCTTCTATGCTAAGAGTATAGGATTTCTTTTTTTCATAGTTGAGTGGCTGCGGGAAGAAAAAATAATGTTGTATTACTATGGAGAGTTGTTTTTTTAACTTTCAGTATAAAATGCATTTTTTTTCATTACGTTACGTGCAATGCCATGTATGTTTATAGCTTCTGAGACATTTACAAAATAGTTCTAGCAGTAACAGCTCTGTTATTGTAGTGGCAATCGCTCCCTAATTTGTGCTAGATTTGTAGTACTTTTGTTAATACTTCTTTTAGTTTAAAAACTCCACTTCTTTTGTGTGAAACTGTTGAAAAAAATACTTCAGCTGTATTGGAACATATTTAAATTATTTTCTCTAAGAGCTCTTTTGCTCTGACAAACTTCCAGTTTATCCCTTTTTCAATAGAGCAGTATTAACCATCTCCAGGTAGCCTTCAGCTGCAGATGTTGGGTGTATTCATGCACTGAATGGCACCCATGGCCATGTCACTTGCATCTTTCTGGACAGAGACATGGAATGTGATGGAGAGCAGAGCTCTGAGATTTCTATGGGTTGAGCATTTAGTTGACAGATCTAGAAATCTGTTGCAGAAATATAGCAAAAATCTTCAAAGGACTGTGAAAGATGCATAGATAAAGTATGCAATTCTATCTGCCTTTTCCTGGGGTGCACTTGGTGCTTAATTAACTTACCCACTGTACTCAAACTGGGCATCCGAGCCAAGCTATTGCCCCTACCCATGAGGTTTGAGCAGGCCAATGGGCCCCCCTGCCACACAACTAACTGAACCTGTGCATTTGGAAATGGGTTGGCATTGGGAAATCATCCATTTTGTGGTGGTTCTGAAGATGACTGAATGCCACCACAGCATTCACCATCATAGTCCCATCCAGGTAGGCATAAGTGTAGTGATCTAAATCACCCCACACCTGGTTTAAAAAGGTCAGCTTCTCGGGATCCCATCAAAGGTGGGCTTGATGGGAGGCGGCTCAAACCTCAGCTGCCTGTATCTGCTGCTGGGCTTGGGTGGCTTGCTGATCCTGGGGACGTGGCCGAACCACTCCCCGGACTTCTCTTGACTGGTCTCCAGGACTGGCATCCCGAGCCTGCGGCAATGGACTTGGCTGGGATACAGGGCTTGGTATCACCGCTGCTTGGGGGATGGGCAGATTCGCATGTACAATGTTTGGTTACTGGCTCTAGCATCCTTATGCACATGGTTGCCCGTAACATCTTTGATTGAGTTGACAACCCTGAGATTCAATAAAAAGCACTATTCATGGTTTCAATATCCCCTAATAACCTTTTGTGTGTGCTTATGTGTGTATGTGTGTGTTTTCTCCCATGAGATTATCTTTTTTCTGATCCCCAGTCAATATTTCCTTATTGACAACAAAATTACATAATATGTAAATTACATAAGAGTTTAAATTATTGAAGAATTTAAAGTCATGTTTCCTTGAACTAATTTTTGACAAATACAAAATTAATTAGGGTAGAGATGAGAGTAGAGATTATTTTAAAACTACATAATGCCAAAAAATCCCAGGTATGGATGAAAACTCATAAGTCAAATATTTATGAGATTCTTGCTTCTATTTCTTATCAATATTTAATAATAATATTTCTGGAAGTTTGAGAGAACCTCTCTTTACATAATAACAATAGTATGTACAGTATCCAAGAGTAAGCCTCATCATACATGTTTACATTCTCATAACCATATGTCTACTTGATCTGGGTCAAACAATCCAGCCAAATCAGGTTATGCTTGTTTTCTCATTAAGGGATCATTAGGGTCTTAATGTGATTCAGGATCAGACACCCCTGGACTACAGCACTATGGTGTTGGCATTGATTTGTAATGTATTCCCATTTTGAATGGATCTTTGACTTTTCCTCTTTTTTCAGTTATAAGAACAAAAAACAAAACAAAACAAATTGTGTTGTGTGCTGTGCGTACTATTCTGTCTGCTACCCATCTATTTGATGAAGATCCATTTGGAGCTTCATCAAAAAGTTTGCTGGATCTCTCAGGCTACTTTATATGGCTGGAGATTCAATGAGGGAATTCAGCTGTCAATAAAGCTGATTGACAAAATGGCTCCCGCAATCAGCTGCTGAAAGATATGAAAATGGAAGGCTGAGGCATAAATGTTCCCTACAAGGTCGATACTATGCATAACTGATCTTGGATAAGGAAATAATGGATTTAATCAGGGAGGAGGGAAAGTACAATGAGGCTAATATATCTTCTAGGGGTGCTTTGCATATGAAACAGGAGTTGATGTGGTAAGGCTCATTGAAAATTCACTTTAGTTACTTATATTTATTTATTTAATCTTCTCAAGGACCTCTCTGGACAATAAGGTTGAAAAAAGAAAGAAGAGTGATTTTTTACTTTAATACTGAAATTATCAATGCTTTTTTCAGATCAAGCATGAAAATATGGATAATGTCAGTGACCATTATTTATTACTTACTGTGCAAGTCTAATGTTTTATGCAATTTCTTGAGGAGCTGAAAGGCTTATATGCACTGAAAGGTTTTCTCATTGACATTTTCATTCCTAGTTAATCATTACTTCCATAAACACACACAGTGGAATATTAGCTTAATGTCCTCTTGTGAAATAAATACTGGTAGTTTTACAGGACTGTATACTTCAAATATTCTTCACAGATAAAATGTGAAATAGCAGGGTCTTGCCAAGTTATACATCCTTAGGCATTAGATTCAGGACTACTATAAAGCCTGGACCAAGAACCAGGCAAATTAATCTACTGAAAACAAGAGATTAAATCAATCCTGGTAGGCAAAGACAGAAAAGGAAGAGGAGAAGGAGGAGGAAGAGGAGGGATTAGGATTAGGGTTCTGCTTCAAAACTCTGACTGCAGAGGTGGAGTAAGAAAAAGAAAAGCAGCAAATAGTGTGCAAACCTCCATTCTCTACACACTTTAAAATTTTCTATATGCCAACTGAATATTTAAGAGGATAGTATTTGTTTTTATGTGTAACAATGGATTGTCATCTTTAGATATAGCAGGCACTAATGTAGCAATTTATATGAATTTCTTTTTTCATGGGTGAATTACCATCTTTTTTGCCATTCTAGCAGAGATGATTATTTATGCCAGCAAGATTGTCATGAGTGTATAGGAGAATAGGACATCTGGATTAGGGTCTAGGACAACTTGCCACAGCCAACTTGCTGCAGCCATCTTATTTGCCATGAGACAACTCACCGAGGGACAATCCATGTGAGATATCTTAAAGCAGGGGTATCAAACTCACAATGTCATGTGATGTGTCATGATGTATCGTGACTTTTTCCCCATTGCCGGGGCTGGGGTGGGCGCGGTTTCGGCATCACACATCCGGCCCGCAGGCCAGCAGTTTGACACTCCTGCCTTAAAATGATAAATGTTATCCACTACTATTTCCATTTTGGACAATGGAAACAATATTGAAGAAACAGTAGGGCATAATATTTTTCAGGTTGAGTTATCCTGCATGGAATTGTCCCATGGCGAGTTGGGCTGTGGCAAGTTGGCTGCGCTGGGTTGGCTGCAAGTTGGCCATAGCCAGATAGCCACAACAAATTGACCACTGAGAAATGGCTGCAGCGAGTTGTCCCATTCTGTGTGGCCTATGATACATTTTATAAACAATTTCTATTTAACTAGTTATATTTATATCCCATCTTTTTGTTCAATTGCTCAAAGTCACATAGCTCTCTCCGTCTCTTCCTATTTTTAAACAACAACTCTTGGGTCGAGAGTGAGAGAATGACTGGCCTCGAATAATCCGAGTTCTCATGGTTGAGGATGGACTAGTCATACATGCATAATTTTAGGGTTAATTTTTCATATTTAAAGCAATGCTCATCTATTTCTGCATTTCTATGGCAACCAAAGATGTAAGCTGGCCTGAGCCTTCATGTATGTTTGATGAGTAAATCAATTTCAATAGGGCTTAATGTCAAAGAAAATGTATACATGGCATATCAGGTACGGTCAGCTAAACTCTTCCAAACTTTGACAATAATATGCAGTTTTTAATGACATGGAATATATTAAATATCCCCAAACAATCATATTAGCTACATACTATTATTTTTAATAGTGCCTTATTTTTTACTACAGCACATTTAATTTTTTTCCTCATCTCCATCTTTATGGCAGAATATGACCCTTGACTTGCCATTCAAAGAAAAGTATGATCCTTGTCTCAAAAAAAATTGAGAGCTCTTGGTTTAAACAATGAATTTCAAAGTTATATAGAAAGAAGATGCTACTTTTTAAAGTATGGTGAAGCTGAATAGGATAGGATACTTTTGTGTGATCATGATTCACTTCCCACTAGTCCCTTTTGTATTTTCCCAATTGGTACTGTCTCTCCACTGGAGATCTGTTAGAGGAAAAATGATTTAGAAAATAAAATTACAGCAGGGTAAACTACACCACTGAAGAGATTTTGAATTCAATTATGTTCCCTTTGAAAGGGTATATATCCAAATACACATGACAGGAACAATTCTAGACTTAAATAAATCTCTTGCTAGGTCCTAATTTGCCAAGTATTCTAGGATGTTTAATATCATTAACAAAGAAATATTTTGCAATTATTTTGCTTACCTTCTTCAAAGAAATAATTCCTTCCCGTGTTTCTTTGTCAGTTGATATGGAAAATATTCCAGAACCATCCCCATTTATGATACTGTATTTCATGTCTGCATTTGACCCTATGTCTGCATCAGTGGCCTTGATTTTGCCTACAGCAGAACCAACCTGTGCTGATTCAGGAACATACAGCTGATAATGTTCTGAAAAATATAACAATATAATGAGGCAATTTTTCTAGTAGTACAGTTTTAGAAGGATTTCAAAAATAGCACAGAAGGGACAAGTTCAGTGAAATACATGAAACATAAATTGCAACATCAATTTATAGCATCTGTTCTAGACTGATTGTAAAGATTGTAGGATGCTGCTCCCTGGAAGAATAAAACAACAAAATAAAGAATTCCAACAAAACAAACAATTTACATGTATGTATAATTACCGCCATCATGCATCCCATCTTTTATTTTTAACTGGGGATGAAGCAGTGTGTTTGGAAATGGAGCAACAGACTATTCTAAGTCCTACTCAAAATATATATCCAGACAATTAGAATTACCTGCAGTCTTTTACACAATCAAATTAACAAAACACAATTGGTATGTTCAACATACTATGCCAAGATAAAGAAATCATATTATGATTGAACATGATGGCCTTGTTCAGAAAATAAGCTAGGACAATGGCTAGCTTCCCACACAACTCATTTAAATAACCCTGTAAGTTACCAAAATTTGTTTATACAAGTTGTAGAGTAAGAGGACTAGCAGAATTATATTAGATTAGCCACTTACTCTCATTTATCACAAACTGGTTACTGAAAGTTGCTACTTGAGAGAGGTAAAAAACAGTAGAAAAGGTTGTTCATCCCAACAATGTTCTCAGTGATCTACTTGTATATCAGTTACCAATAAATCTTGCTGAAATAAAATTTGTCCTGGATACCAAAGCACATTGATCAAAAGGAAGTTAACTCTGAAAGAAAATAATCTCAGGAGATTTCAGTTGTAGAAGCACATCATCTCAAGGAGAGAAACTGTAGTGTCTGTAAAATCCAAACTGCACAAAGATTGAAAGAGAATGCAAATCTTGCTAGAGCTTGGACACCATGCAGCTATAGCTCTTCCAGACACACTGTAGCCCTAGTTTAATGTTCTACTTTGAATGGGAAACCCATAAACATGAAATAAAAGCAACAGCCTACTGCTGTTATTCTTCACTGTAGAAGTTGAAATCCTAAAATAATCTTTAAAAGCCATCAAAGCTAGTGCCCATAGGTTTTTCTTTTGACCAATTCCATAACGTTGTTGAGTGTGAAGAAGCACTGGCTTTCTTTGGGACTCATTTGTGTTAAATTCTTAGAAGTCATGGTGTGTAATGCGACTCAGTAGTTTAAGTATAATAAAAATTTGAATGGACATAAAGGATCTGAGATCCTTTCTTTTGTTTCCTTGAATTGTTTGACTTTAGAACTGTAACAGCATCTTTGTCTTTGAAGCTACAAAGGAAAAAAATACAACACTTTTGAGCTTGCATCGTTCTTGCCTCCCAAATGGCCAGGGAAACGAGGTCTGTAAATTTCACTGAGTTAAAAGCTAAGCAATTTAAAAACCCTGAAGTGAGTTCTCCTCCTCCTACATTGATGTGTCTTGCAATTGTAACAAACTTTACCATTCAAAACTTTACCGCACTGAATCAGATTATTTCTTAAGCGAACATTTGTGCACCCACCAGCTGACCTTAAGATGAAAAGAAACAAAAAATGTACTTGCACTCTGGGGCTAAGAAAGCTACAATTATGACTGCAGTGGGTTTTGCAATACAGATGAAATTACCATTTGGCTATCTTGAGACATGTAGGCTGGAGGAATTGTTGTGTGTGGGGGGGGGGGGAGGAGAGAGTGGAAAGGTAAAATCAAACCATTATTTTAAAATTCAATGTCAAGTTCAGAATCAGTATGGTAAATCAAGCAGTAGGGGAAAAGGTTGTGAATCCATTGTAATTAGCAAACTATCCTTAGTAATCAATTATTACTACATATACATTTATGATAAATACATCAAAGTATTTCTTTTTGTTCAAAACAATAAATGCCTTTCATGAACTAGCTCTTCATTCTGAAATGCTACAAATCCATGTACATGTTATCTGAAACTAACTCTTTTTCTGCAATTTAGTTATTAATAGCTATGCACTGAATTTGTCATGTGATATTTAATATGTCTATCTTCTAAGCTTGCCAGTACTTAATGATGGTCAATTTTTAATTCATAAACAATACAGAAAAGCTTTAAATAATTCTCTCTTTCCAAAAATAGTACAGAAGAGTTTGGACTTTGGATTAAAAGTAGGCTGAGTTTCCTGTAAACCGTGAGCAATCAAACATCTTCAACAAGGATATACCCATCTGTTCTAAGAACCACACTTATTTTCTGTCAAGAGAAGATTGGACAATTTATTCCATAATAGACAACAGAGGGAAAGATCAATGAAAAAAACGGATTCCCAACAATGTTTTTGCAACAATGGCAATTCATTTCTTTCTTCTGGAAGCGCATCTTGCTTTGGACATTTTTCAATTTGCATCTAATCTTTTTAAAGGAATGTAATGTGGTGCTTAAATGTTCAATTAGGACTGAAGAAGACTCAAGTTGAAAATCTGCTCATGGTCTTTCCAATTTTTACCTAAGAATGGTACTAACGTGCCTTGACAACATCGTTCTTCACTTCCCCGCTATATTGTCATCTTGGACTGGATTAAGTAGCTCTTAGATGCATCAGTTACAAAGCAGTTGACAGTATCTATAAAAAACTATTATGCTTGGTAATACATTATCTCTGATACAAAATCAGATCACCAATACCAGGTGAGCTCAGATAAGGACTTTTTGGCATTTTAGGATGAAGAAGTCAAATCTTGTCTTCTCTAATTCCTATTAAGCCTTGCTTACCAACATTTTGCGCTGGTCTCCCTAAGCAGCTAGATACAGCAAAATGTGAACCATAAAGAAAACTACTTGCCAGAGCTTGAAATAGCACAATACTGAAAACACTGCAACTTTGAAATGATGAGAAGCCCTCCCTCATTATTTTCTACACAAACCACAGAGACAACAGGACGTAAACATTTGCTGCTATTTAAAAAGGGAGCAAGAGAAGAGAAATTTTTTAAAAAAAGGTTCATTGTGATTCATCTTGTTTTATGATGTTATTATTTTTTTAATGATGTGATCAATATGGGGGGTGATTGCAAATGAACATTTGAGGAAGAGAAACAACACAGTCATTTTATTTTAATTTGCAGAGTTTCTGTGTGCATATTGTAATCTTTGAACATAATGGACAATTTCATTTAAAACTATCCTTTTCATGATAGGATCTTATTTTCTTTAATAGGTGAATACAATTTCTGTTCATTTTATGCGAAAGTGATCATATTTCTTTAATTCATTCATCTCTCAGGAGTTCCAGTAATCAATCAAGGTTCTTGTCCATTTCATATCATGAAGACAGGCTGCTATAATGATTAAAGTGCTAGACTAGAAACTTGAAGACTGTTTGGATACAAAAGCTTTACTGGGTGACTTTGGGTCAGTCACTCTCTCATCATCCAGCCCATTTTAGAGAGATCTTGTGGGGAAAATAAGAGGTGGGAACATTATGTATACTGAATTGTAAAAACAAAGATAAGATAGAAAAAGAATGAATGAATGAATGAATGAATGAATGAATGAATGAATGAATGAATGAATAAATAAATAAATAAATAAATATCATACCATTGCTATTAAATGGATGGCCATATCAATATTAAATAAATGAGACTCTAATCCAGGATTGAAATGGACAAGAAATTCTATCCATGTCTGTAATTTCTATGAATTGCATCATACTGTATATAAATGTGTCTGTCCATGTGACACGTCTCCATTCAGCCAAATTTCCTGTTGTTTGGTCATGAATAGAGGCTTCCATAAGGAACACTTTGTATCAGCTACCTAGCCTGCTAAAGCAAGTGGAGACAGTTTGTTTCTCAAAGAAAAGGTGTTTTTTTTGGGGGGGGGCAGAGTCCCTGCTGATGTTGAGTTGGGAACAGAAATAGTAATCAGAGAGGACTGTGGTGAGAAGAAAGAAAAAAACTATATACAGTAGAAGTAATGGCAGGCAAATTTGACTGTTGACAACCCATGGATTCAATAAAAAACAATGCTGGCTAATAAACATGACTTGTATTGGGCAGTGTTTGTTTTGCTAAAGGTTTGCATGCCCTTTAGGTGGAGTTACCTATTCTTTTGTCAGCCTTTGTTAGTGACTAACTATTGCTGGATATGAGTTTTGTCTGAATTTCAGACAATAATAGACCTCATCCTAATCAATGAATTCAATGGATGAATTAGTATGGATGATGTTCATACTTTCTCTTCAAAATAGTATTCACTGTTATCAGCTTTTCGTATGTATGAGTGTGCCTTAGAATTTGAAAAATCTCATATGCCTTTTAACACATCTCTGGTTTGGACATAGCTTCCTTCTCATTAATTTGTTAAACTACAGCTCTGGTACATGGCTCAGAAAAAGTGTTATTGTAAAGATACACACACACACACACACACACACACACACACACATATATTCCAGCTGAGAAAACTATCTTGTTTTGCATCATGGGAAAACTTTTAAACTAGTTATCTATCCACTTCAACTCTTTACCTTATCTATTTCTGTTCTTCGATAAAAGATAGGAAACATTTCTCTTCCTTTTTCTTTTTTAAATGAAAGAACATTCAAGTACATTGGAGGCTTGCTGCATGCAAGTCTATTTGTAAAGAAGGAAAAATGTATATGATACACTATAATGTATATGATACACTTAAATGAAGCACTGTCAATAATTCACCATTCATTGAAGAGATCATTATTGAAAAGTGCTTGAAAAGTGTTGGCACCTTAACACTTAGCAATATCACATACTGTAGTCTGAACAGAGCGAATACTAACAATCCCAAAAAATTTAAAAAATACTTCATAGAATCATAAGGCTGGAAGGGACACCCTGGAGATGTTCTACTCCAACTCCATGACTAAGGCAGGAGTCCTCATACCATCTTAGACAAATGGATGTCCAAACTTAAAAAAAAACAAAACAAAACCCTCCAGTGATAGAACACCCAAGCTCTGAAAGGCAAGCTGTTCCATTGATTAATGGTTCTGTTAGGAAATTCCTCCTTATTTCCAGTTGGATCTACCCAGAGGTGGGATTCAAATATACGAACAACTGGTTCTCTGTGTGGATGCCGCTTCTGGAAAAATTAGCTACTTGTTCTGCCGAAGTGGTGCGAAATGGATGAATTCCATCATTGGAACTACCTCTAATGAGTTTTCATCTATTGCTTCTTGTTGTCCCCTCAAGGAGCTATGAAGAATAAATCAATGCCCTCTTCCCTATAGCCATCCCTCAAGTATTCCAAGACTGCTTTCGTGTCTCTCCTCGATCTTCTCTTTATTAGGCTAAACCTTTTTGTTTGTTTGTTTTACAGTCTTAAATCACCTTGTAAGACAGAAACTTCCTTTGATCTAAGAGATCTTTCCTTTTGAATAAAGATGTTTTGGATTGCTTGGTCAGTGATGTTGTTAGAAATTGTACCATTTTCCAATCAATGAAGATTTACAACTGTAGGGAAAACAATCTCATTGCCAGCCTCTGTTTCTACAATTCTGTCTAAGATCTGTGTTGCTTTATGTGATCTTCTTTTTCCCATGCTCTACAGGTTGTTCAGAACCTGCAGCAAATGTATTACAGGTTGCCTTATTCTGAATCTAGCTTAATACAATGGATACTCAATATCAGTGGCTGTCAACAGCAGTACTTCCAGTCTTATCTGGAGACGCCATAGAAAGCATCTGCTCTACCATTAAGCTGCAGCTATTCCTCTAATAAATATTATCCCTTATATTGTGATTTTCTGATGTCTGATGCCAATAATTCTTCAAACTGGTACAATGGCCTCATCACTTTAAAACACCAGAATTTCAAACTATAGGGGCCTTAATGGTCTTTGGGTTACTGATGATGTTACATAGTTTGATAATGAAATGTCTGCCAGAAAATCACCACACTCAGAGAGCATCAAGGACCCCACAGTTCAACCAAGAGCTACAAATATTCTCTTCTATTGATACTTAAAAATATAAAACCCAGGAAACTACATACCAACTAGCACAGTATGCCTTGGAAGTCTTCTCCAAAAGAAGAGAAGCAAATTTTAGAATTTATAAAGAAATACAGTTAACTACGAAGATTACAATATGCAAATAACTCTTAACTTGCATCAATAACTCTTTTTTGTAATTTCTTGGGGTTACCAGCAGTTTTCTGGTTGCATGCAAGCTTATACAGGCATAGGCTAATATTAATGTCTTTTAGTATTCAAACATGATTTTAATATTGAAACAACTTATTGAAACTCTCTTCTAGATATTGTAATTTGTATCTTTCTGCATTAATAGTTAAATCCTATGTCAAATACATAAAAAAGGGTTTATTTTTTTCATCTCACTGATTAAAGGAATGGCATTAATTATGCCATTTTCTGCCTATTCAATATTAAACTACGTTAATGTGGAAAAAACTGCAGTTTTCCTTGCTGGGTCGTATTGCGGCCATTAAAATGAACATTCTACCTAAGTTTCTTTTTTTATTTCAGATGTTACCTATTTTAAAAAATGAACTAAACTTGAAAGAATGGCAGAGAGATTTGAATCGCTTCATCTGGGAAGGCAAGAAAGCTAGAGTTAGATTTAAGATTATTCAAGATGTTAGAGAACGTGGAGGACTTAAAGCACCAAACTTGATACTTTATTATGATTCTTGTGCATTAACATGGATGACGGATTGGATTAATTTGTCCAACAAAAGGATATTGAACGTTG